CTTGTCGTTGACCAGAGCCGTGATCGTAGTGAAATTTGTGCTGTAACCAGAAAGATGTATTCGCATCGTTGTGCACTGTTTTAGAATACACAGAGTTTTCATCAATAAATCCAGTGATTGCAAAATTTGTAGGTCTTTAATAAGTTGATGCGCCGGCGTATTGATGGGCTGGTGGATGGTGTGGCTCGTGTACCAAAACTTTTAATCTATATTTAGCGCTGGGAAAGCCATTTTCTCTACCATCTATTGACCTATTCCGGCAGAAAATGATATTCGCGTATCAGAGAATGCTGAGGCCTTAAATCACGCAAGTCTTTCCAGTTTGACATTTCAAGGATGCTGACGTCGATGTGAAATTTGCATCGCCCGGCAGCCATTTATTTTTTCAATATCTTGTTGGGGAATGTGGTACATATTCGCTTCCTGGAAAAGGTAAACATACCCGTCAACTCCTTTCAAGTCAGTACCACTTATCTACAACTTTACAAAAAGCATATTGGCACTCTTTCAAAGCTGCGAAGCTCCAAAATTCATAAAAATTTGCAGCTTACAATTTTTGTTTTAAATTACCCTTTCATTTTACTGAAACTTCGAATTTATCATATATCTGCTGGCTGAAAGTAATGAAACATCAAGGCTTTGGATGCAGAGAAAGCGCTCTGATCGTACCTTAATAGCTCCGGCGATCATCGATGCACGACTGCTCTGCGGATGTGAATTAGAACTTTTGTGCCGACCAGAAAATACTTTACTGTTGCTGCGTGGTGTTAAATTCATTATTCGCGTCAACACCTGCTTTTGCTGTGATTTCTTTCTGAAAAAAAAGCACTCCTTTCGTAAGTAAATCTAATTTATAAAGTAGTCACGCACCAGTTCTTTCCAGCAGCTGCTATTTCAAAGAAAAAATGAAAGTTAATTTTCCTCTGCCTTCTTGGCACGGCACTGAAAAGTGATTGTTACGAAAGCAAGTTAAAACCACAAAACATAAAAAATAAATATTCTCACGTAAAATTCCCACTTTTGACACACCTTTGGAAATGCAATAAAATAATCAGCATTCCATTTTTTTAAATGAGTACTTTGAGGGCAAATCCTGATTGAAAGTTAAAAAGCTTAAAAGAGCAACTAAAAAGCTGAAAAATTTAAAAATGCCATTATTCGATTTAAAAAAAAGGCTCGAAATTGCTTCTTGACTGTAACTGCTGAGGACACATTATTGGGAAACTTAACACTCCCTTACTCTAGTTCGGTCAAAATCATTAGTGAGCGCACCGACTCCCAGTGCGATAATGCGTTTTTGCACAGTTCCGCCACTGGTTTTTATGCGTTTTTGCATATATGTAAATTGAAAAAATTGGCCAACGCACGGGCTGCCCGTGCGAAGATGCGTTTTTTGCAGAGTTCCCTGCAG